AGGGTGTCCCCGTCAGACTTGGCGAGTCAAAGCTTGAAGAGCTGGACAAGTTCACGTACCTTGGCAGCATCATAACAAATGATGGAGATGCTTACCATGATGTAGAGTGTCGAATAGGAAAGGCAGGGAGCATTTTCCAAAGGCTTCAGCCTATTTGGACTAGCCAAGCCATTGGACTCGAGACAAAAATACACCTTCTCAACACAATCGTCATTCCAACTGCTACATATGCATGTGAGACGTGGAAGTCATCTGTCGAAATTGAGAAAAGACTAAATGTGGCTCAACAGAGATGGCTGAGACGGATTTTGGAAGTCAGTTACACAGATCGGGTCTCAAACAAGGAAATCCTATGCCGAACTGGGAGTCGAACACTTGGTGAGGTTGTGACTGAGCGTCGCATGAGGTTTGCGGGACATGTTCTACGTCAAAATGAATTACGCACACCAAGAGTTGCGATAACATGAAAGCCAAAACAAGGAAAGCGCAAACAGGGACGTCCTCCTATTACTTGGCGACACACCTTCATGGAGGACCTCAGAACAGTGGACACCAGGTGGGAGGAGGCTTCAGACATTGCCACTGACAGATCTTTATGGAGACAGCTTGCCGCCCAATGCGCCGAACGGCGCGGGAGAACCTAAGTAAGTCTAAGTAAATGAATATTTGAAACATTATTACTTTTAACAATCAAAACAAAATCACGTCTTGAATATTCCTTGCAAATATACGTATCCGACAGGGATCCGTCTCCCACGGGCCGCCTCTGAGTTTGTGTGGCAACACAAACTCACTTTGTAATCTTGTTTTTTTTTTTAATTTCTGTTTTTTTTTTATTTTTCTTTTAAAATCACGAAATAGTTCTTCAGATGCACGTAGAAATCAGTCTTTGACATTCTCACAATCTGTGAATGATTTGACTTTTTGAGCAATTTCATGTGGTACCGAAAACCTTGCAAGATTAGAATTACTTTTAGATTACTCTAACTTTGAGAAGATAATTCGCTTCTACTTTATGTACTTGAGACAACAAACTATGCGTCACAGCCAAAGCGAGTGGTGAAGACGCTAATTTGTCCTGAGTCGAAAGCGAATTAAAAGCTACATAGAACATCCGACGATGGCGTCATTCGAGAGATTCCGACGGACTGACGACAGTGACGACGCGTGTAATTGGGTGTGGTGAAAAGCGAATAAAAGTGGCTGAGAGATAGAATCGGTGCCTAATCTTATTTAAACGATTTAGAACTATTTTTTTAAAAATTCGATAAAATAAATAATAAAGAGCCGCAGTTTCACATCCAAAGAGCCGCAGGTTGCCGACCCCTGATCTAGACTGCGTTTATTCATTTTTATCTAGTATATTTTTACTCGCTTCTTCATAAGCCTTCATCACAAACCTGATTTCTGGTTTTTGTGACGATATCGTAACTTTCCTTATTTACAACATGTTTTTGTGGGAGTATTAGTTCTTTTAGTATTGCCATTGGGCCTCGTGGATTTCCTCCATAAATCATTTGAAATGGCGAAAAACCCGTGGTTTCGTTACGGCTCTCTCTGTATGCGAAAAGGATTGTCATCTGCTACTTTCGATAACGCTTTCTTTATAGTGCCGTTAAAACGTTCACAAATACCGTTGCTCTACGCGGGTACGGGACTGTAAACCTTTGCCAAATTCCAAACATGATGTTAGTTGGCATTGGAACTGTGTTCCCCATGACAGTACCTCTTCAGAAAATCCAAACCTTGTAAATAATGTATATAATGCTTGTACTATAGCCCTGGCTTCAATTCTTTTTAGTGGAATAGCTTCTGGCCATCTTGAGCACACGTCTATCACAGTTAGAATAAATCGATGACCCCTATTTGATATGACCGACAATCAAATCAATTGCAATCTTAATAAATGGTCTTTCTTGTATATCTACCTTTTGTAACCCCGTTTGATACTTCGAAGGGCACTGATAGTTCTCCACTTTCTTGGACACCAGCCTTCATGCCATCATGAAAATAGTCTCACCATAATGGTATAAAGGCTCATGTCCAAGAAAGTGGAGAACCATCGGAGCATTTCGAAGTATCACACGGGGTAAAACATGGTTGTTTCCAAACATCTACACTATTCAGTATCATGTTCTCTGCTATGCTGACAGATGCATTCACAGGTAGAGAAAACATCGGGATAAATACAACATACAGATTTTATGGTGGCCTTTTCAACCCGAGGCGGCTCAAAGCAAAATCAAAAACAAATTCAGCAGTAATCAGGAACTTGCTATTTGCTGACGACTGTGCCCTAAATGCCTGCTCTGAAAATGATCTGCAAAGCATTGTCAGTGACTTCTCAAGAGCATGCTAGACTTTGGCCTTACCATTAACACAAATAATACTGAAGTCTTATATTTACCTGCTCCTGGGAAAGCCTACTCGGATCCAAGCATCAAGATAAATGGACATGATATAAACGCAGTGAACAGATTCACATATCTTGGCAGCACACTCTCCAGAAACGGAAAAAATGATAATGAAATCGACCAGCATATCGCAAAATATGGCAGACTGTCTAAAACTGTCTGGAACTGACGTGGTATCACCACAATACAAAGCTAAGGATCTATCGAGACGTCATTGCTCTATCCCTCAGAAACGTGGACAGTGTACAGAAAACATGTAAAGAAACTGAATCACTTCCACATGACATGTCTAAGAAAAATACTGAATGTCAAATGGCAAGAAGAAATACCAGATACTTCGAAGAGCTTGTCTGCAAAGCATCCATACAATCCTGATGCAGTCCCAAGTGTGATAGACAGGACACGTCTGCAGAATGGAAGACCACTGCATCCCTAAACGACTCTTGTTTGGCCAAATAAGCGAAGGAAAGCGCTCAGAAGGTGGTCAAAGACAGGGACACCCTCAAAGCTTCTCTGAAGGCGTTCAGCATAGACCCAGCCACCTGGGAGACAAAAGCACTTGACAGAGCATCATGGCGTCGCGCTGTGAAAACTGGCGCACAGGTTGCTGAGGAAAAGAGAACAACGCTGGCAGAAGAAAAACGCCAGAGAAGAAAAGCAAGGCCCACGACACTAGCTCCAGCTGGAATAACCTGCCCAGTGTGCATTCCGGGCTCACATAGATTCACCAGCCACACGAGGAGGCATAAAACCCCAGTGCAAAGCCCTCAGCCCCCTGGATGACAAAGTGGTCATCATCGAACCACGATGGACGAACTATATATATACCTTTTGGAATGGTGCTGATTTTTTTCAGTGACTTTCATTTGACATACTTTGCACGACATTACACAATTTATTATGTCTTTACTAATAGATGGCCAATAAAAATCCTTAAATATTCTTTGTTTTGTTTTGTGGATCCCCATATGGCCTGCATATGCTTCATCATGCCCATTCTTCATTATAGCATTTCTAAATTCAGCTGGTACAACAACCTGAATAATTTTTCTTTCTCATGACTCAACTTCTCTTACCAAAATTCCTCTTTTTATATAAAATCTTCCTCCTCTACCTCCTTTCTGGGCCAAATGACGCAGTTCTTGGTCATTTTTTTATTCCACACTAAACCTTTGCTTGTTGTATACTACATCATTAAGTTCTAATGTGTCTGAGTTTTCTGCTAATCCTTCTTCCTTTTTTTTCCTTATCTGGTAACTGGAATAATTGTTTTAAACCTCCTGCATCGAAGTCCTTATATTTAAATCGAGTAATATTCAATACTCATTCCGTAACACTTCTTCCAATTTACCATATCCTTTACATCTGGAATATTTCCAACAATCAAATGTTAATGTAGCTGCTTACAGATCTAGATCTATTCTAGATTCGGATTAGATTTTTTTTTAGATGAAAGTGAGAAGGGCAGAGGTTTTCATAGAAGAAACATTGGGTTCGTTTAATCTCTCTTTTAGCATGATAAAGGGAATCAAAATGATGTTCCATAACCATAACTTGCAGAATGTATCGTCTGTGGTGTCTTCTGTGGTGGCTACTGTTATATTCACTAGCGACTAGATAGGTTCCATTACTTATGAAAACCTAGGTTCAAAGAATGAAATCAGGGGCTTTTAAGGCAGACTCAATAGCAAAGCTTTTATATATTAGAAACAAGTTCAATGACTAATTATCGGCCTGAAAAACATATTTAAAATGTTTGTTATTAGTGATTGTAGAGGATGCCAAAGCTTTCATTGCTAACAGCAAAAAAGGTCTGGAAGAAGAAAATCTGAGTGATATAAAATATTTCCAGTGGCTGGATACCTTCTAAAGAAATTGCCTATAAACAAAATTACTTTATAAAACTAGATACCACTGATCCAGCTAAATGTTCCGTTGTCGCTATTATGGAATGCAAAGTACACAACAGGCATTATAATCATAAGATCATTGCCAAGTGACAAGAACGTTATCATTCTAACATAGTCTACAAAAGTCTGAGAGCTCTCATGCTGTGTTAACTTTAGGATAGCTGCCTTTCATGTATGTTATGGGCTTGAATGATTTAATTTTAGTCTTTCCTGGGTATATTTCTTGATAATAAGGAAAATTCGCATTTGCCCCTCAAAATACGCATTTCCAGGTCTGGGAATACGCATTTCCAGGTCTGGGAATACGCATTTCCAGGTCTGGGAATACGCATTTCCAGGTCTGGGAATACGCATTTCCATTTTTGCATATAGTTATCTCTGCAATTGACATATTGTCAAAAACACAGTGCATTGTATTCAACACGGTGAATACATCAGATTTAACCCGAGTGGGAAGTAATGGTTAGTTAAAATAATTTTCAAAAGAAAAATTTTCTAGAAAATCATGTTTTTTTAAAATTCTTTAGCGCCCCTCTACGTATAACGAGGCATCATACACCCCCCAAAACGCCTCTGGTTCCATACATATAACTCCTCTCAGTGTTTAAAGTGGAAATTCAATTTTATTTTTAAATATTCTTAAAATTGAAGTATACAAAATATAAAATAATAACAAATGAGCTTTTAGGGTGAAATAGTTTTATAACAAATTTTATTTTGTAACAATATATCACAATGGTACAACAGTCTCTCTTAACATATATAAAAAAAAAGTACAGTAAATACTTAAAAGTTTGTTTACAATTTAAAATACATAGGGTGACATTAAAAGAAAGTACATTAACATTCTTTTAGTAACAAATGATTGATTTTCACATGACTGGGACTAGTTCTTCAAGAATAGTTTGGAAGTTTTGAACAAATGGTAATAGACACAATCTCAAAGACGTCTAAAAATCCGAAATAATAACTCCAGCCAGCATTGATTCAAATTAAGACAGTAAATTTTTTTATACGATTATTTTACACACAACTATCACAACCAATCTGTATCATATACCAATTTAAATATAAAATGGAAATGGGGGTCTCAAGCAGGTAAAGGTCTGTTCCAAATTTGTCTTTTCAAACATCATTATCACCTAATAATATTGCATAGGAGATCAAAATGCATGTCTGACAAGACACTCAATGCATTTTGTACAAGAAAAAGGCACTCACTCATTAGTTTTTTTGTTTTTCTTCGATTATAAACACTGCATCTTTCACACTTTTGATTTGGTTTGTGAGAAAAGAATTTGCTGATAGCAAGGAAACTATGGATTTAGACACAAATATATTTTCAATAGCAGTAATCAATTACTTAAGAAAATTTCAATATTGAAAGCATATGTTACACATATTATTGAGCATTACTGAGAAATATTTGAGGTATAATTGTATAGTTAGTTGGCTAACTATTAGACTAATGGCTTTTCAAAAATATTGATGTATGTTTTTTACCTAAGGCAATTAGACTGCTATTTAAAAAATATGTATATTTAAAGGAGTTTACTTAAAATGTAATTTTTAATTAAATTAAATCATATTTATAAGTAGGATGTTAAATAAAACTTGCAAACGTTTTGAAATGTTTGCTGTTTTTTAAAACACGTTTAAAACAATTTTTTTTATGTCATATATATATTACAAAACTTTACTTTGGATGGTTTAAAATGGATAGAGCACAACTTATGTTATAACCTAAACTAAGAAAATGTTTTTAGCAACAACAAAAAATATTAATATAATTCTTTGTTCTTTATATTTTTAATTACATCAATACAGAATAAACATAAGAGAATTTTTATTATACTTTCATATTAAAAAATTTTAAAAAATACAGGTGTAAAAAAAAAATTAAGGCTAAAAATAGAATTAGTCTATGTCTATTCAAACAATATTTTTCATTTAAAATGAAAATTTAGTCAAAACAAAAATGAAAATTTGAATATCTATTAACGGAATTATAGGAAAATAAGATATTAAAAGTACTATCATAAATGAAACTAAAATGGTTTTTTAAAAATGCAATAACTTTACAGACATTTTGTTCCAAATATTATGGTAGTACTAATTAAGGAATAGAAGAGACAGGGACTCAACACAAGTCATAAATTCAGAGATTGTCAACTTTAAGAGAGCACTGAAATGATGCGTCATACGCCATATGGAAGAAAAGTTGAAACTGGATTGCAGTAATACTTTTCAACACTTGTAAACAATTCAAACAATTTTTTTATAAACAATATGAAACATTGCGGAAATAGAGTAAAGTTCATGGTTTACTCAATGGAATCTAGTTTCACATTCTAGCCCCCCAAAAATTATTTTTTTTTAGTTTTATTACGAAACAAGTGCCTTTGCCCAGAACTCGCAAATTTACCGCCTAGGCTTTCCCCCAGCAATGGAGAGGTCACTCCATCTCTGACTGTAATGCCTCTGAAGAAAAAAACACGGAGAGTGGTAGTTACCGGTGATAAGTTCCTAGCTAATTGGCGTAAGTTGGAACGCCAGAGACCAATCTTGATGGTAGGAGAGGCTTTTTTAGCCTCACTGGATAGATACTGCCTGCCCGAGCAGCTCTAGGACAATAAGTACTATCCCGCCACAGCTTGCCGCACCACTGGGTGCTTGGTGCTAAGACTCTATCAAAAAGCAAGCTACTCACCCGCACCTGCCAATACAATCAAAAGAAAATTCTCAACATTAATGCATTTTGCAAGCTGGAACATACGGACAATGTGTCCTGGCTTCCATACTGACCCTGAACTCGTCACCGACATGCGTCAAACAGCTAACATCGACAAAGAACTCAGCAAACTAAACATTGCAAGAAACCAGACTGGCAGATAGTGGACCTCTTACAGAAATAAAGTATACATTTTACTGCCAAAAAAAAACAGAACAAAGCCCCAGAATACATGGCGTCGGCTTTGCAATAAGAAACAGTCTCTTCCCCGGCATTGCGATATTCCCCATTGGCAATGAAAGAGTAGCACACATGAAATTTGCATCACCGCAAGGCAAAGTTAATATAATCTGTGCTTACTCACCAACCCTTACAGCACCAGAAGAGGACAAAGACAGATTCTTTCAAGCTCTGGAAGACGTAATTAAAAACATTCCAAAGTCCGAGCACCTCTATATAAATGGAGACTTTAATGAAAATGATGCGTGGCCAAAATGCTTGGGACCTCATGGTGTGGGCAAAATCAACGACAATGGCCAAAGGCTACTCGAGTTCTGTAGCTCTCATGAACTATGTGTGACAAATACATACTTCCCTGGCAAGGAACGCCACAAAGTCTCTTGGCAGCAATCACGCTAACAAAGGTGGCACCAGCTTGACCTCTGTATCACTCGAAGGATGGAATTGAAAAGTGTCTTCCACACCCTCTCATACCATAGTGCGGACTGCAACTCAGACCATTCACTAGTGCTAAGCAAGATCAAACTACTTCTCAAGAAGGCTTATACTTCCATTCAACCTAGAACTAGGCGAATTAACGTCAACCATGTAGGTGACCCAGAGAAGTCTGCACTCTTTGGCGAGCTCTTGAACAGTTCAATCCCCCCAATAAGTGATGAAGAAGGGAGAAATTAAGAGATAAATCTATAGTTCAGCAATTACTGCCTTTGGGACTCAAAAGCACAAAATTGTAGACTGGTTTGAAGAGAATGGAACCTTGATTCGAGAAAAAGCGATCTGCACGAGAAAAAGCGATCTGCACACCTCGCTCACAAAACAAAGCCTAGTCCTAAATCTTTGCAAGCCATCAAAACAGCTAATAAAGAGGCAAAACAAATGGTTAGACAATGCCACACAGAATACAGTAGACGATGTCACCGTGGCTTCTTTATAAGATCTTCCAGTATTGGAATGCCTAGATGAGCTTCCGAGCCTTGGTGATCTCAAAAAAGCTATAAAGTGCATGAAAAATAGAAAATTTCCAGGGAGTGATGGCATCCCAGCGGAAGTAGTTAAGGTCAACAAATCCCTCATACTCCCTGAACTCTATAATCTCCTCTGCCGCTGCTGGGAAGCAGGTCATGTCTCACAGTCACAATATATAAGAACAAAGGGGCTCGGAGTGACTGCAACAATTATAGGGGTATCTCTCTTCTCAGCATAGTTGGCAAAATCTTTGCTAGAGTGGCACTATCCAGGCTGCGAGAGGTAGCTTCTAGAGTCTACCCAGAGTCTCAGGATTCAGGAGTGGTAGATCCACCATAGACATGATATCCTCTCTACGACTACTGCAGGAGAAATTCAGAGAGAGAGAGAGAAAGACCCCTCTACATCTTTTTTGTTGATCTGACCAGAGCTTTTAACATGGTCAGCAGAAGTGGCCTTTTCAAACTCCTAAGGAAAATAGGTTGCCCTCCCAAACTACTGAAGATCATTGGGTGCTTCCACGAGGAAACGAAATGTACTGTCAAATTCAATGGAGCCCAATCAGCACCTTTTGAGGTTAGCAGTGGTGTCAAGCATGGATATGTGCTCGCACCTACTCTGGCATATTCTTCTCCTGTCTACTGCATTAAGCGTATAACGACATCAACGAAGATGTATTTCTCCATACAAGATCCTCTGGAAAACAATTTAATGTATCAAGGCTGCGGGCAAAAACCAAGGTTAGGAAGATACTTATCAGGGAACTCCTGTATGCAGATGATGCAGCTGATTCTGGTATTCAGCTTCAGTCCCTGGTTGACAAACTATCTGCTGCTTGCCATAAGTTCGGCTTTAAATATTAGTCAAAGCAAGACTAAGATACTAGTTTAGAACACAAATACTGCACCTCATGTAAACATTAAATAGAACTTGTTGATCACTTTTGTTATCTTGGCTCCATCATATCTAACAATGCTGTACTGGATAAAGACATTAACAACAGGATATCCAAAGCAATGGGCACCATGTCACGGTTGCAGAAAAAAGAGTGTGGGACAACATATTGCTGACTAACAATACTAAAGCCTTAGTCTACCGAACCTGTGTGATGAGCACTTTGCTATACGGAAGTGAAACATGGTCAACCTTGTCATGGCAGGAAAAAAGCTGAATGTCTTTCATCTCCGGTGCCTAAGGCGGATCTTTAAAATAAGGTGGCAAGATAAAATAACCAATGAGGAAGTGCTACGAAGAGCAGGGTGCCATGACATTCGCTCTGTTATCAGCAGCAGACGCCTTGGCTGGCTTGGCCACGTTCGTAGAATGCCAGTAGGTCGACTTCCTCAAGACATTCTGTATGGTGATCTAATAGAAGGCAGGAGAGCCCCTGGTCGCCCACTTTTACGGTATACGGATGCATGCTAACGCGACAAGAAGCTCTTCAAAATCGACACTAGCAGCTGGGAAAAAGTGGCACTGGATAGATCCACATGGAGAGAGAGCATAAAGGGTCTCGGATTGCAGACTCCATACATAACAGAAGCAGAAAGAAGGGTGAAAATGCAACAGGGCCTGGTCATTACATATGCCCAACCTGCGACCACAGCTATGTATCAAGGATTGGCCTCTTTAGTCACACTTAAAGTTGCAAAGGGAACACATTGCTTCTCAAGACATAAAATGTCACAGATAATGTCAAAGATTAATAAATAACATCATATTTTCAGTAAAATAGGCAGAACATGTTACAGTAAAGATATGTAAAGTGGTGTAGTGAGCACTAGAGAAAAATATAAACAGACCAGAGAACTAATTAAATTTAACAAGGAAATAAAATAAACAGATAAGAGAACTATTTAAGTTTTACAAGGAAATAAAATACAAAGTATCCTGATGGCCTATGGCACTGGTGGCAAATGCCCTATTTGTCTTAAAGGGGAACTTTATTTTAACTTCTTTTCATTTAAACTGCATTGATAGTCCAATTAATACAAACTTTCAAATATATATAAACTGTAAACAAGTAATGAGAGGAAATAACATATATGTATATATATATAAATAGGGATATACCACTACAATTTGATATGACGAGCAAGTTTGATATTAGACTTTATTAGAGCAAAGTAGTATGGCTATATTTCTAACTTTTAAGATGTAAATATAATCATATTTCTTTTCTAAGAAATTAACTAAAACTGAAGTAAAAAAATTATAGAAATATCACAGTAAACTTGCTTATCATGGATTGTGATGAAAACATATTTTAAATTCAGCGCCAGTAAATAAAACAGTAAAACATATGATTAAATATGTTTATTGTTCATATTTATTATATTTGAACTTTTACTGACAAAACAAGAAGTGATGCCTTTACTAACAGCACTACCATCTGCAAATTGAATCCCAACATGAGTAATAACATTGCTTTTTGAATGAGGTAACTCTTCAATAGGAACAATGCTGTAATTCCAAGTATCCTGATGGCACCAGGCATAATATAGAGCCCCTGCAATTAATACAGCTGTTGTTGTTGCTACCAGCACCCCAGCAGCTATGTAGCTTTTATTTCTCACACTCAAAAGGAATGATTCTTTTATTTCTGAAAAAAAGGAAAACATAATTTTATTACAACAAAGAGGTTGTTGGGAAAACAAATCACAGATAAACCGCATCAACAAGAATAATAAATAAGCTCGGATTACGTCAGTCCCAAGTTACAGTGTTTTGTGCTTACCGCACATCTCCCATGTTGATGTACTATATAAAATGTTGTTTTTACAAGTGATTTTGAGCCCTAAACGTAAACTTCATGTGTGGTAATTAGTTGTGAATGGCAGAAGAATACGCAGTGATGCGGGTGTGGACTGAGGAAGTTGCATT